GTTCAAATGGGTGGTAGATTCGAAATCTGCTCCAAAAAGTATCCCTACAGCTGGATTGTCAAAAGTCGATTGAGCTCATCTAAGGTCAAAAACCTCGACCTGACCTTTCGAGTGACCTTGACACCCACCGTGATGCATGTGACAAATCATTTCGCAGGTTGGCACGTTTCTAATCAGAAGTGTAAAAACGCGCGGACACTGCGCTGACATGCGTCGACTTGCTTTTCTGGCCTGACATGGCCTCGGGAAACAGGTCACTGACGTTCTTTAATATGCTGAAACCTGTTACCTGTGGGTTCTCTATTGATTTATTCTATTCTTTTGACCTGTGGTTAAGTCCTTTCATGGTAATCACAGTGAATTCCACTAGAATGGATGTGAAGTGAAACAAATGTTAGATCGGTGATTTACAGTACATGCATTTTAGTAACAGTAGAAAGTTTCCCTAAAAATTATGTGCCTAAGTTCTTGTGAGGTCTATTTCATAACCACACCGAAACAAAATATTGACTGATGTGTAGTTGAGATTTGCTATGTTTTTAAATGATACTGTAGCTTCATTAGGTTAAGTATCGGCTGATTTTTTTTTTTTTTTTGTAAAAAATGGGAGCATTGTACCCTCGTTGATCAGGTGATCTGGCGTTCGGTCTGTTAGAATAAAACGAGCACTAGCTCATTTTTTGACATCCTTTTGTCTCTATTTGGCAGGTGTGTGTGTCCAGACCGAGACCGTGCTGCGTCAAGCCATCGCCGAGCGCATCAAGCCGGTTCTGTTCATGAACAAGATGGACCGTGCTCTTCTGGAGCTGCAGCTCGAGCAGGAGGACCTTTACCAGACTTTCCAGCGTATCGTCGAGAGCGTGAACGTCATCATCGCTACCTACTCTGACGAGGACGGCCCCATGGGCAACATCCAGGTGCACCCGGCCAACGGCTCCGTGGGCTTCGGCTCCGGTCTCCACGGCTGGGCGTTCACCCTCAAACAGTTCGCCGAGATGTATGCGGACAAATTCAAGATCGACCCAATCAAGCTCATGCCTAAGCTGTGGGGTAAGTAGTGCGGGCGAGTTGTTACACTGCGGTCTTATCACTTGCCATTGCTGTTCCACTCTCATAAACAATAAATATAAATTTGCCTTTGGTAGCATGCCTTTAAATGGGTAAAAGGGACATTGAAGTGTGTACGTATTTTAATGCTTCCATGCTTGCTCTCTTCCAGGTGACAACTTCTTCAACATGAAGTCCAAGAAGTGGCAGAAGAGCAAGGAGGCCGACAACGTGCGCTCGTTCAACCAGTTCGTGCTGGATCCGGTCTACAAGGTGTTTGACGCCGTCATGAACTTCAAGAAGGATGAGACCGAAAAGCTGCTCACCGCGCTCAAGATCACGCTCAAGGGCGAAGACAAGGAGAAGGAGGGCAAGCAGCTGATGAAGGTGGTGATGCGCACCTGGCTGCCGGCCGGCGACACCCTGCTGCAGATGATCGCCATCCACCTGCCTTCCCCGGTGACCGCCCAGTTCTACCGCATGGAGATGCTGTACGAGGGACCGCCCGACGATGAGGCGGCGCGCGCCATCAAGGCCTGCAACCCCGAGGGACCGCTCATGATGTACGTGTCCAAGATGGTGCCCACCTCGGACAAGGGACGCTTCTACGCGTTCGGCCGTGTGTTCGCCGGCAAGATCGCTTCGGGACTGAAGTGCAAGATCATGGGACCGAACTATGTGCCTGGCAAGAAGGAAGACACCACCGAGAAGACCATCCAGCGCACGATCCTGATGATGGGACGCTACACGGAGGCCATCGAGGACGTGCCGTGCGGCAACATCTGCGGTCTGGTCGGCGTCGATCAGTTCCTCGTCAAGACCGGCACTCTGACCACCTTCCGCGAGGCGCACAACATGAAGGTGATGAAGTTCTCCGTGTCTCCCGTCGTGCGTGTCGCCGTGGAGGCCAAGAACCCGTCCGACCTGCCCAAGCTGGTGGAGGGTCTGAAGCGTCTCGCCAAGTCCGACCCCATGGTGCAGTGTATCATCGAGGAGTCTGGCGAGCACATCATCGCCGGCGCCGGTGAGCTGCATCTGGAGATCTGCCTCAAAGATCTGGAGGAGGACCACGCTTGCATCCCGCTCAAGAAGTCCGACCCGGTGGTGTCCTACCGTGAGACTGTGAGCGACGAGAGCAGCGAGATGTGCCTCTCCAAGTCGCCCAACAAGCACAACCGCCTGTTCATGAAGGCCGTGCCGATGCCGGATGGTCTGCCCGAGGATATCGACGACAACGAGATCTCGCCTCGTCAGGACTTCAAGATTCGTGGCCGCATGCTGGCTGACAAGTACGACTACGACATCACTGAGGCCAGGAAGATCTGGTGCTTCGGCCCCGACGGCAACGGACCCAACATCCTGGTGGACTGCACCAAGGGAGTGCAGTACCTGAACGAGATCAAGGACTCTGTCGTGGCCGGCTTCCAGTGGGCCACCAAGGAGGGCGTGCTCTGCGAGGAGAACATGCGCGGCATCCGCTTCAACATCCACGACGTGACGCTGCACGCTGACGCCATCCACCGCGGCGGCGGCCAGATCATCCCGACGGCTCGCCGTGTCCTCTACGCCTCGCAGCTGATGGCCTCGCCTCGTCTGCTGGAGCCCGTCTACCTGTGCGAGATCCAGTGTCCGGAGGCGGCCGTCGGTGGCATCTACGGCGTGCTCAACCGCCGGCGTGGTATCGTGGTCGAGGAGATGCAGGTGCCCGGCACGCCCATGTTCCAGGTCAAGGCGCATCTGCCGGTCAACGAGTCGTTCGGCTTCACGGCCGACCTGCGCTCCAACACCGGCGGCCAGGCGTTCCCGCAGTGCGTGTTCGACCACTGGCAGATCCTGCCCGGCGACCCGATGGACGCCGGCTCGAAGCCCTCTGTGGTTGTGTCGGTAAGTAACTGCGGCCGGCTGGGACTAGACTGGATGGGGGGGGGGGGGGGGCGGTAGCTGCAATAACAATCGTCAGCTTCTGTGGTCCATTTATGTGCTGCGTGAAGTGCGAATCTTGGCGCTTCTCGTCCGTTAGAATCTGTTTTGTAGGCCTGTTTGTGGTGTGGTTGTTTTGCCATGGTTACTGTGGGACACGGACTGTCAGATCGTTGGCTTTAACCATGCTAATCATTTGTTCCTTTTCTTGCCCACAGGATACGAGGAAACGGAAGGGACTCAAGGAGGGCATACCCGATATCTCCAACTACTTCGACAAGTTGTAAGCGCACCACCAGGACCGGTCGAACGTTAGGCCTTTGCTTCATATTAAAATATTTTATTATGAACCAGCTTGTATATTGTTTTACACGCATCTGCGGCGGCGAGTGGTGGTTGCGTACTGAACTGACGGTCTGGGCCGGAACACCCGGCAACACCTCCTCGACTCCTGAACGGTGGTAATAAACGGAACATCTTCCTCGGGGAGCGCAGCGTTTTCGGAGAGCGGGAGGGGTAGAGAGGGGACGCCCCACAGCTGGCGTCAATAGCGTCTGTGAACGGAGCCGGTCGATTACGGCGGGTGACCGCACCTGTGCGGGGGAAGGCCGCGGCCCCGGCTAGAAATGCGGCTTGGTCGTCACACACGATTGAACGAGAAGACCGGGGATGCTTGCTTGGCCTAATCTATCTGTTCAGGAAACGTTACAACATTCTTTAGCCGTAATCGAAGAGGCGGTGAATGGCGCTGGATCGGGGGCTTAACGATGCTGATCTCATCTATGGAGCGGTGGGAAGGAGGGAGAGGGGTGTTGCATCACCTGTCGACACCGGTTTCGACCGGAAATCGGTTGACTGCAGCGCAACAGCGGAATGAGGAGGCCAGGCTCAGGGTACACTGCCAGCCCCAGCGGCGTTGAGATGTCTGGTGCAATAAACACTAGAAAGAATCCACGGACGGTAAAAATGAATGGGGGGGGGGGATAGGAATCGAGCGCTGTATTCCGGGCGGGGTAGCTGCCGCTGCCGATAGTTCGCTCTCCCCAGGGCCCTCCTTAGTCATCAGACTTGTTAGATTGAAAACTGATGAAATCACCTTTGTCTCCGCATGTTTTATTTTAGGTAAAAACGCACTAATATATTGCACGACTCAGACCCCAAACAACAACCAAGTTCCTACCATACAACAAACGCGCTCCAGGAAGTGTCAGTCACCTTGTATAATAAAGACAATGCATTTGATTCCACTCGAGTTCGGCTGCAAAATTACCTGTAGTCCTCATGATCGACAACGCATTCAGAACCGATTCTCCCGAGATTATGAGGCTAAAGATCTGATAAAAAGGCTAAAAAAAGATACTGTGTAAAAGGAAAAAAAAGATGTCGCCAAACTCAGCACCGCGGGCACTCACTCAGTTAGTACCTAGAAGTAGTAACACTGAATCTGAGCACGTCCTAAAACATGGGGTACAAACAACGCGTAACATGCATGGCGTTCATTTAGAACGCCTCATGAACTGAGCATAAACCGGGGTCCAGGGGCGTCGACACCGGTCCGACTTTTCCGACTAGTCGGACCACTTTTTCGACTAGGCGGTGCCCTGCTGTGGCTCGCGGGGCCCCTGCTGCAGACCGCGGGGGCCCTGCTAGAGACCGCGGGGGCCCTGCTGCGCCTCTGGGGCCCTGCTGGACACCGCGGGGCCCTGCTGCGGCCCGCGGGGTCCCCTTCTGCGGCCGCGGGGGGCCCCTGTTGGGGCTCTCGGGGGCCCTGCTGCGGCAACGGGGGCCCCTGCTGCGGCAACGGGGGCCCCTGCTGCGGCAACGGGGGCCCCTGCTGCGGCAACGGGGGCCCCCGCTGCGGCTCGCGGGGGCCCTGCTGCGGCCACGGGGGCCCCTGCCAGGGGACCCTGCTGCGGCCACGGGGGCCCCTGGGGGCCCCCACCGGTGGGGGCCCCCCGAGAAAAAGTCGGACCAGTTTTCCTTACGCGTCGACGCCCCTGCCGGGGTCGACATAACAGGTGAACGGCATGACATCTGAGGCATACATAATATTGACAAACATACAAATACAACGTCTAAAATAGCACCACACATGATATAGCACATCATATTCGGCACACTCAGCAGCGAGCGCAGGCGCCTATCATTGAGCGCCACTGGAGCAGCACACAGCCGGAACGATCCCGGCCGATAGGACATCAGCTACCGACCCAGTACTTCTCTGGCGTGCCGGCCGAGTCGCGGTCGGCCGGGTAGGCCGGTCCGACGTGGCCGTACGGCAGCTGAACTGTGCAGTGCGACGACCGTCCCATGACGGTGCGGTGCCACCGGCCGCCCGGCGTCTCCGCCTGTGCCAGCGTCATTGGCAGGCGGAGCGGCGCCGGCTCGGCCAGCGGGTCGGCCGCCGGCTCGCCCTCGGCCGGGTACAGCTCGTCACCTGGCGGCGGAACGCGGCCACGGTCACAGAGGTCACGCACACACTCAGTAAGCGAGGGTGCGGAGGGGAACGGAGTCGAGACGGGGTCCAGATGGTAACTACCGCGCTCAGTCGTATTTAGACACATTGATTTGTATGATAATAGAACTAAGCACACCACCGTTCATTTAATACTAGCAGACCAACTGGAAATTTAAAGGCAGGCTGACTCAGATGTTCATCTGACAAACCCAAGTTCAGGCAAATTTGCAAAGTCATCAGAGAGCTCGGGGCAGATCCACAGTCACAAGCACCAGAAAGCACTCGAACCCGCTAGTCACTGAATCAAACGTCAGCATGATTCGCAGATTCGCCAGTCAGGTGACTCGTGACAGCTGGTTCAGCGAATAGTAGTCGGCCAAGTGACTGGCCTACATACAGACCAAGCGGATCACAAACGGACTCGTCTATGTGGTAAATGAGCCGGCTCACGGCCGGCTCTGCCGTGAACCGCCCGGCGCCCCGCCCCTGCCGTGACCCGCCCGCCCGGCTCGCCCCGCCCCTGCCGTGACCCGCCCGCCCGGCTCGCCCCGCCCCTGCCGTGACCCGCCCGCCAGGCCCCGTCTCACTGACCGGGCAGCAGTCCCAGCCGGTGGCCGTCACTGAGCAGCGCCACCACGGGCAGCATGCGCTGAATGCCCAGCGACGCCCGCCGTCGGCTGAACCGCTCCAGCGCCGACCAGCTGCCGAACCGCTGCAGCCGACTCAGCTCGTACAGCTGCGGCGGCATCAGGGTGGTGGTGCCCGCGGCGTGGTCGGCCAGCACCGCCGCCGGCCGCCGCCACTGCCGCCCGAGCACCCGGTCAGTGAAGGGTCCGCACAACACAGGTCACCAGAGTGATCATACGAAACAAACTAGAAGACCAAAAGAGCAAAGAATACGGGTAAAATACACGCTAATGCAGACAAACCAAATCTGAAAGCTGCGTTGAATGCGTATTTAGTTCGTGATAAGCATATAGTCGAGATTTGAAAAAAAACAATGGCAAGGAGAAACAGATTAAGCTAGGCTTTCTGAATGATAGTTGATTACATCACGTGTCTTGCGCAATATTAACGAGATTCAAACGACAAAATAGCATGTAGTGCTTCATCAGGAACCCGCCACTACATCCATCGGTCCTGTCCCGAGCACCCACCTCCACGTGTTCAGTCTCGGTCTGGTCCTCGCAGCAGGGCGGCCGGTCGGGCACACTGGCCACGAAGAAGGCCGCGTCGTGCCGGTGGCCCGGGACGGCCACCGGGGTCAGCCAGGCGCTCCACTCGTGCAGGCTCCAGACGTCCGGCGCCACGGCCAGCTCGCGCGCCAGGCGCAGCAGCTCGGCGGGCCGCCGCTGCACGAGCGGCCGCCACCGCTCCGCCTCTGCCACGGGCAGCGGCGCCGGCCGGCCGCCGGCCGCCGGGCGGGTCAGCAGCACGCCCGTCTCTTCGAACGTCTCTCGCAGCGCGGCCAGCCGGAAGCCGATCTCGGCGGGCAGCTCGTCGCCCACCGGCGGCCGCTCGACGAAGGTGGCCGGCCGCGGAGCGCTGAGCAGCAGCGGCTCCAGCGGCAGCGCCGTCAGCAGCGGCCGCCAGGCGGCGCTGAAGTCGCTGTCGTCTACTATACCACCTGCCGGCGAGTGCTGCTATCAGCGGCTGTGGGGGGCGAGCTCTACCAGGACAAACTCTGCCTGCAGCAGCGTCTCCGTTTTTACCCTCCCCCCCTCCCCTATCAGCGAATGATACCCTCAGAGGAAAGTGCTGCTTCCAGTGGCACCCGCCACAACCCTTTTAGACAGGGTTTACCAGGCGTGAAACATTTCTATCTTTACGCAATGGTTTGCAAACATTCTTCTTGGGGTATCTCCGGAGGACCGTCATCATCGCCGTGGCACTCACCAGGAAAGACCTCCACGTCGGGTAGGTGCCGGCTCTTGCCGCTGCGGCGCACCATGAGCAGGGCCAGCTCGTCACCAGCACCCCGGCCCGACAATACCAGCGTGGCCGCCCGGCGCCACGCCGTGCCCGCCATCTGCCGGCGAAATCAGCAAACAGAGATCAGTGCAGCTCCCACCAAATATCTACAACCCATCTACAACAGCAGTCACCACAGCAGTTGGCAATCTGCCAACCACAGGACACAAATACAAGAACCACTAAGAACTAGTGTTGGTTTTCCAATTGCGAGGACTTACGTGAGATAACCTGACCCGGCCAGTCCGGCCTTATCTACCCTAACTCAGCTTAGTTTAACCCAACCCAAACCCTGACCTAGCATAATCCATGGATTAGAGACAATCACTTATCCATGCCTAAGCTAACCTAAGCTAACCTAACTAACCTTACATTAAGCCCTACATCTACTTAACACCTAGGTACCCCTGGCAGTCAGACTGAGTTAGGAGAAAGGACAGATTAATCAATCTGTCCTAACTCCTACTTCCCATCTGAACCATCTTCCTTCATGGATTATTATAGTTGCTACAGAAATAAGCATCATTTTTAGATTAAGGACATGGAAAAACAAAAATGAGCAGAAATTTTCCTTCAAAACCAGTGCAGATCCCAGCTTTAGTAATACCACATTTTAATTACTGCATTTTTATAATATAAATTCTGGTAAGCCAAAGCCAGCACAATTCCTCAGTGCCCTAGTGAATAAGACATATGGGGCATTCCACGATAGATCGTACCACTTTTTTTCTAATTTGACACCCTCATCTCTCGGAATTTGACGAAAATTGGTCTCAGGGGTAATCTAGGGCTCTGAATCTACCTGTAACAATTTCAGGCTCATCAGATAAGTATTTTTTGAGTTATGGCGTATAACATTTTTTGGATCTTGCTTTGCAGGGCTAAGTTTGGTGGGCTGTAACTCTAAGACGGATTATTCAAATGCCAAATGTTAGATAACATTGAACTTGCAATGAAACAGAGATTAATATGTATTTTTGAAATTTCGAAAAATACGCTATTTTTGATATATGACATATCGAGTTTTCTTTCATTTGCATTTTTTGGACTTTGGGACCAAATTTTTTTGAATTTTTATTTCTTTAAAAAAATATTTAGCTCATTGTTAAGAAGTGTGCAAAAAATTAGGAAGGTGTTCTTTCTATAATTGTATTTATTTTACGTCACGATAACGGTTTCCAATAGTGATTTTGGGAGGGGAGCTTACAAATGGCGTGGTAAAGCTGCCTAGTGACATCACGGGTTACTGAAATTTCAATTGAAGTCTTAGTCATCTGAAAAAAAATGAAAAGAGGGTTCATCCAACCCTCTTTCCTATAAGCGCGAGAGTCAAAAGGCTGTTTGGTTCTGACATTGTTTTGGACGCCAATGACCATAGCTGTCCGAGATAAGAGTTACAGGACGCATACATGTACCGGGGTTACATGAGCAAGTAAATGCGTATTAGGAACGGATTTTCCTATTCGCTCACCATTGTAGTCCGTTTGTAATGCGTATTAACTCTGCTCATGTAACCCCGAGCATGGTGTCCTCCAGAGGTCTCACAACTTATATATCTGGGAATTTTTGAAGGTCACATGAGTCACGTGACATCACTGTTATAATTAGGGCCTGTTCCAGCGCCTCCAGTAGAAATTCTTGACTGGAGGCTCTACCAGAGGTTTCACTGGAGGCGCTGGAACGCAATCTGGAGATTTCTGGAGATTGGCGTCACAGATACCAAAAGAATAAGGATTGTTCTCTCTTGAAACACAAAATTTGTTTTCAATTTCAGTAAGAAAGATAAACAAAATTATAGCAATGTGATTTTCTTTACATTCAAGTTGTAAAATTATCAGTCCAAAGTCCTTTGTTTACATTCGTGATTGTCACATGTGCGCCATAATTGTAGACCAGAGCCTCCAGAGAAATTTGGACCTCCCAACTCTCTGGAGGCTACTGGAGGTTTCTGGAGCTTTGGCGAGAGCTTTCTGGAGCTTTCTGGAGGCGCTGGAACGCTCTCTGGAGGATTCTAGAGCTTTCTGGAGCTTTCTGGAGGTTTCTGGAGGCGCTGGAACAGGCCCTTAAAGTCAATGGGGAAATATAAAATCTGTTATTTTGGCGCCGATAATGATCTAAAACTATGGGCCTGTTCCAGCGCCTCCAGAATAAATTCTTGACTGGAGGCTCTACCAGAGGTTTTACTGGAGGCGCTGGAACGCAATCTGGAGATTTCTGGAGATTGGTGTCATAGATACCAAAAGAATGACGATTGTTCTCTCTTGAAACGCAAAATTTGTTTTCAATTTTAGTTAAAAAGATAAATAAAATTATAGCAATGTAATTTTCTTTACATTCAAGTTGTAAAATTATCAGTCAAATGTCCTTTGTTTACATTCGTGATTGTCACATGTGCGCCATAATTGTAGACCAGAGCCTCCAGAGAAATTTGGACCTCTCAACTCTCTGGAGGCTACTGGAGGTTTCTGGAGCTTTGGCGAGAGCTTTCTGGAGCTTTCTGGAGGCGCTGGAACGCTCTCTGGAGAATTCTAGAGCTTTCTGGAGCTTTCTGGAGGTTTCTGGAGGCGCTGGAACAGGCCCTATCTCACTTACATGGTATCGTGATTTGATGATGTCCGTGAAGTTAGCGTCAGCAACAGCAACGAATACAGCGTCGGATTCAGAATCGCTTCAAAAACTGCCATCAGGTCAATTGGAGGACGGGGAACACGAATATGACATTTATTTTGCCCTAGCTCCCTTCCTTCATCCCTTAATCGTCCCTTAAAGGACGGGGCGCGTCAAAAGTGCCCCAAGGCTTCGTCTGATCGCCAAAATAATGGTCGCAATCGATTCCTCGGGTCAATATCTAACCTCAGTCGAAGGTTCCAGACCTGTGGCTCCTATCCCTCATCCCTTAATCGTCCCTTAAAGGACGGGGCGCGTCAAAAGTGCCCCAAGGCTTCGTCTGATCGCCAAAATAAGGGTCGCAATCGATTCCTCGGGTCAATATCTAACCTCAGTCGAAGGTTCCAGACCTGTGGCTCCTATCCCTCATCCCTTAATCGTCCCTTAAAGGACGGGGCGCGTCAAAAGTGCCCCAAGGCTTCGTCTGATCGCCAAAATAATGGTCGCAATCGATTCCTCGGGTCAATATCTAACCTCAGTCGAAGGTTCCAGACCTGTGGCTCCTATCCCTCATCCCTTAATCGTCCCTTAAAGGACGGGGCGCGTCAAAAGTGCCCCAAGGCTTCGTCTGATCGCCAAAATAAGGGTCGCAATCGATTCCTCGGTTCAATATCTAACCTCAGTCGAAGGTTCCAGACCTGTGGCTCCTATCCCTCATCCCTTAATCGTCCTTTAAAGGACGGGGCGCGTCAAAAGTGCCCCAAGGCTTCGTCTGATCGCCAAAATAAGGGTCGCAATCGATTCCTCGGGTCAATATCTAACCTCAGTCGAAGGTTCCAGACCTGTGGCTCCTATCCCTCATCCCTTAATCGTCCCTTAAAGGACGGGGCGCGTCAAAAGTGCCCCAAGGCTTCGTCTGATCGCCAAAATAAGGGTCGCAATCGATTCCTCGGGTCAATATCTAACCTCAGTCGAAGGTTCCAGACCTGTGGCTCCTATCCCTCATCCCTTAATCGTCCCTTAAAGGACGGGGCGCGTCAAAAGTGCCCCAAGGCTTCGTCTGATCGCCAAAATAATGGTCGCAATCGATTCCTCGGGTCAATATCTAACCTCAGTCGAAGGTTCCAGACCTGTGGCTCCTATCCCTCATCCCTTAATCGTCCCTTAAAGGACGGGGCGCGTCAAAAGTGCCCCAAGGCTTCGTCTGATCGCCAAAATAAGGGTCGCAATCGATTCCTCGGGTCAATATCTAACCTCAGTCGAAGGTTCCAGACCTGTGGCTCCTATCCCTTATCCCTTAATCGTCCCTTAAAGGACGGGGCGCGTTAAAAGTGCCCCAAGGCTTCGTCTGATCGCCAAAATAAGGGTCGCAATCGATTCCTCGGGTCAATATCTAACCTCAGTCGAAGGTTCCAGACCTGTGGCTCCTATCCCTCATCCTTTAATCGTCCCTTAAAGGACGGGGCGCGTCAAAAGTGCCCCAAGGCTTCGTCTGATCGCCAAAATAAGGGTCGCAATCGATTCCTCGGGTCAATATCTAACCTCAGTCGAAGGTTCCAGACCTGTGGCTCCTATCCCTTATCCCTTAATCGTCCCTTAAAGGACGGGGCGCGTCAAAAGTGCCCCAAGGCTTCGTCTGATCGCCAAAATAAGGGTCGCAATCGATTCCTCGGGTCAATATCTAACCTCAGTCGAAGGTTCCAGACCTGTGGCTCCTATCCCTCATCCCTTAATCGTCCCTTAAAGGACGGGGCGCGTCAAAAGTGCCCCAAGGCTTCGTCTGATCGCCAAAATAAGGGTCGCAATCGATTCCTCGGGTCAATATCTAACCTCAGTCGAAGGTTCCAGACCTGTGGCTCCTATCCCTCATCCCTTAATCGTCCCTTAAAGGACGGGGCGCGTCAAAAGTGCCCCAAGGCTTCGTCTGATCGCCAAAATAATGGTCGCAATCGATTCCTCGGGTCAATATCTAACCTCAGTCGAAGGTTCCAGACCTGTGGCTCCTATCCCTCATCCCTTAATCGTCCCTTAAAGGACGGGGCGCGTCAAAAGTGCCCCAAGGCTTCGTCTGATCGCCAAAATAAGGGTCGCAATCGATTCCTCGGGTCAATATCTAACCTCAGTCGAAGGTTCCAGACCTGTGGCTCCTATCCCTCATCCCTTAATCGTCCTTTAAAGGACGGGGCGCGTCAAAAGTGCCCCAAGGCTTCGTCTGATCGCCAAAATAAGGGTCGCAATCGATTCCTCGGGTCAATATCTAACCTCAGTCGAAGGTTCCAGACCTGTGGCTCCTATCCCTCATCCCTTAATCGTCCCTTAAAGGACGGGGCGCGTCAAAAGTGCCCCAAGGCTTCGTCTGATCGCCAAAATAAGGGTCGCAATCGATTCCTCGGGTCAATATCTAACCTCAGTCGAAGGTTCCAGACCTGTGGCTCCTATCCCTCATCCCTTAATCGTCCCTTAAAGGACGGGGCGCGTCAAAAGTGCCCCAAGGCTTCGTCTGATCGCCAAAATAATGGTCGCAATCGATTCCTCGGGTCAATATCTAACCTCAGTCGAAGGTTCCAGACCTGTGGCTCCTATCCCTCATCCCTTAATCGTCCCTTAAAGGACGGGGCGCGTCAAAAGTGCCCCAAGGCTTCGTCTGATCGCCAAAATAAGGGTCGCAATCGATTCCTCGGGTCAATATCTAACCTCAGTCGAAGGTTCCAGACCTGTGGCTCCTATCCCTTATCCCTTAATCGTCCCTTAAAGGACGGGGCGCGTTAAAAGTGCCCCAAGGCTTCGTCTGATCGCCAAAATAAGGGTCGCAATCGATTCCTCGGGTCAATATCTAACCTCAGTCGAAGGTTCCAGACCTGTGGCTCCTATCCCTCATCCTTTAATCGTCCCTTAAAGGACGGGGCGCGTCAAAAGTGCCCCAAGGCTTCGTCTGATCGCCAAAATAAGGGTCGCAATCGATTCCTCGGGTCAATATCTAACCTCAGTCGAAGGTTCCAGACCTGTGGCTCCTATCCCTTATCCCTTAATCGTCCCTTAAAGGACGGGGCGCGTCAAAAGTGCCCCAAGGCTTCGTCTGATCGCCAAAATAAGGGTCGCAATCGATTCCTCGGGTCAATATCTAACCTCAGTCGAAGGTTCCAGACCTGTGGCTCCTATCCCTCATCCCTTAATCGTCCCTTAAAGGACGGGGCGCGTCAAAAGTGCCCCAAGGCTTCGTCTGATCGCCAAAATAAGGGTCGCAATCGATTCCTCGGGTCAATATCTAACCTCAGTCGAAGGTTCCAGACCTGTGGCTCCTATCCCTCATCCCTTAATCGTCCCTTAAAGGACGGGGCGCGTCAAAAGTGCCCCAAGGCTTCGTCTGATCGCCAAAATAATGGTCGCAATCGATTCCTCGGGTCAATATCTAACCTCAGTCGAAGGTTCCAGACCTGTGGCTCCTATCCCTCATCCCTTAATCGTCCCTTAAAGGACGGGGCGCGTCAAAAGTGCCCCAAGGCTTCGTCTGATCGCCAAAATAATGGTCGCAATCGATTCCTCGGGTCAATATCTAACCTCAGTCGAAGGTTCCAGACCTGTGGCTCCTATCCCTCATCCCTTAATCGTCCCTTAAAGGACGGGGCGCGTCAAAAGTGCCCCAAGGCTTCGTCTGATCGCCAAAATAATGGTCGCAATCGATTCCTCGGGTCAATATCTAACCTCAGTCGAAGGTTCCAGACCTGTGGCTCCTATCGCTCATCCCTTAATCGTCCCTTAAAGGACGGGGCGCGTCAAAAGTGCCCCAAGGCTTCGTCTGATCGCCAAAATAAGGGTCGCAATCGATTCCTCGGGTCAATATCTAACCTCAGTCGAAGGTTCCAGACCTGTGGCTCCTATCCCTCATCCCTTAATCGTCCCTTAAAGGACGGGGCGCGTCAAAA